TCCTCCATCGCTTGGCAGTCTTATTCTTTGTCAAGACATCGCAAGAATAATCCTTCAAAAGAGGGGCAAAACAATGTCCCCTTATAGAAGATGAATTGTGGTGCTCTTTGTTTGATATCTGTTCTTTGTTGTGAATCTTCAGGTAACTTTCCATGTTCAAGGTACTCTATCAGTGGTTGCTTCCAATCTTCTTCTTCAATCACTCGAACAGACGTATGATGGCTTTCGTTGATTTGAAGATCTAGAAGTCAAGGAATAACCCATCGATGACACACATATACCTTTGTTGACTCATTCTCTCCAAGTGCCATCGTCGTGGCCAAGTTAGCCAAAGCATCAACCTTGCAATTTTCTTCTCTTGGGACGTGGTTTAAGAACAATTGGTCAAATTTTTCAAGTAAACCAGAAGCGTATTGATGGTATGGCAATAGATCTTCCTTCTTTACCTCGTAACTCCCCAAAAATTGGTTGATGATCAGTTTAGAGTCGCGTAGATCTCCAACTATAGAATCTTCATTTCTAATGCCATTTCGAGACCGACGATCAAATCTTGGTACTCTACGGCATTGTTGGAGCATGTTTAACCTAAAACAAAGGAGAGTGACAAGACTTGTCTTTCTGGAAAAATCAACACAACACATGCCCCTGCACTGTTACAACATGCAGATCCATAAAAGAACATTGTCCATGATGGAAACTCTTCGATGAACAAAACGTCTTCATCTGGAAACTCATCTAAAAGCTCCCATTCCGCCAGAAGAGGGTGATCAGCCAGGAAATTGGCTAGTACTTGTCCTTTCACAACTTTATGAGGTGTGTATGTGATCTCATTTTGGTTAAACAATATAGACCATCTTGCTAGGCGTCCAGAAAGAACAGGTCGAGTCATCACGAACTTCATGGGATCTGCTCGAGATATGAGTTTGATGGTGTATGCTTCAAATAATGCCTTAGCTTCTTTATCGCATAAAGTAACGCTAAGCATATTTTCTCAATAGGCGTATAGTTCATCTCAACTCTTATAAGAGTTCTGCTAAGGTAGTACAAGGCTTGTTCCTTTCCTTCCTCATTCTCTTGAGAAATTAGTGCTCCAAGTGAACGTTTATGTGCCGCGATGTAGAGTATCAATGGCTTCCCAAGCATTGGCGGCCCTAACACAGGTGGATTCATCAAGTATTTTTTTATGCTTTCAAAAACATTTTGACATGACTGATCCTAATGAAAAGGGATACCCTTCCTCAATAGATGATTGAAGGGTTGACACCGTCCGACTAGATTAGAGATGAACCTCCGGATGAATGTTAAGTTTCCTTGGAGACTTTGAAGCTTTCTTATGTTCTTTGGCTTGGGCATTTTCTGAATGGCGTCAATATTTGCAGGATCAACTTCAATTACACGATGACGTACAATGAAGCCAAGAAACTTTCCTGAGGTAACTCTAAATGCACACTTGAGTGGATTCATATTCAAGTCGAATTTTCTTAACCTTTCAAAAACAATTCGAAGGTCTTCAAGGTGGTAAGGCCTACTCTTCGTCTTCACCACCAAGTCATCGACGTAGCATTCGACCCTCTTATGAAGCATGTCATCAAATATGTTTTGCATCACGCGTTGGTAGGTGGCACCAGCATTCTTCAGACCGAAGGGCATCACTTTGTAGCAATATATCCCTTTTGGAGTTCGGAAAGCAGTACACTCTTCATCTTTTGGAAACATTCTAATTTGATTGTGTTCGGAGGACCCATCCATGAATGACATAGCTTCATGCCTTGTTGTAGCATCAACCATGAGTTCAATAATTGGTAGCGGGAAGTCATCTTTTGGACATGCCTTGTTTAGGTCTCGAAAGTCAACACAAACACGTATTTGACAATTCTTCTTCTTGACAGGTACAATATTTGTTATCCATGATGGGTACTTCACCTCTCAAATAAATCCCGCCTCGATGAGCTTGTTGACTTCGACTTCAATTTGTGATACAAGCTTGGGTCGAAACATCGATGAGCTTGTTGACTTCGACTTCAATTTGTGATACAAGCTTGGGTCGAAACATGCGTTGTGACTGCTTCACAGGGCGTGTTCCACTTTTTATCCCTAAATGATGAATAACTACCTTAGGACTAAGACCAAGCATTTCTTTATACGACCAAGCGAAGACATCTTTGTACTCGGTCAACAACTTGGAGTATTCCTTCTCCTCTTGAGGCGTAAAAAGCGCACTAATGAAGGTGAGGCGTGGATCTTTCAGAGTACCTAAATTGAGTTCCTTAAGCTCATCTACAATTGATTGCCCGTCATCTTCTAGTTGAGGGGGGAGCCTCATTTACTTCATCATCAATGTTAAGGCATGGGATATATTCCACAACTATGTGATAGTATATTTCCACAAAGTCCGACTTTTCTCTTTGACTTCCTCGGATGGTCAGCATGGCTTCTTTCTCTTTCTTTGCTTTTTTACGAGGCTAGCAAGTGTAAACAATAGTTCTCCTTTGCACCTTTAACGGACCATCTGTGGATATTAACAAAATAGACTTCCTCTTCATATGTGATGGGAAAGCACTACAGATTTCTTTGTCAGCAGCAACTTCAAAATGATCCCGCTCCTCATGGACTTGCTCCTTATGTTTTGACAGTATCTTCCTAGATGGCGACTTCCGTGTGGTCCCTAGGTGAGAAAAGACAGAGGTCTTTTAGGTAGTGGAAACTTCTTTTAGATATTTGGAAGATACACGCTCACCTTTGTGACTTAGCCTTTCAAACACTGAGACCGGAGGGGTTGAGCCTTTAATACGATCAAATACTGAAGCCCGTTGTTTTATTTTCTTGCCCTTAACTTCCTTCATATCCTCTACCGAGGTGTATTGTGATGAATCTATCTCTTTGCTTCTCTTTGATGAAATTCAAAGAGGCTCTGCCAAACTGAACCCCAATCCAAACTTTAGAGTGGCAACGTAGTGCCCTTGCTTTCTCAACTTCATTTGGGACTCATTGAGCCCATGTATCTTTTCATCAGTGACTTCGTCTTTGAGTTCTCCTAGTTTTGACGGATTGGAGAAGTCATAACCAGACTTTTCAAGCAGTATGAAGGCCTTAGGATCATAGTGCCCTTTTGTTTTATCTGCTTGGAGATTGCCTTTAGCAGACTCACAAGTCACAAATGAGATTTGTGCAACTGGGACAGTCATAAGCTCCTTCAAATGTTGGATATCTTTGTGACTCATTTGCTTCTTTGGAGTATATTCCTGTAGCAAAGGTTGCCCTTTCTTTCAATGCTCACGCGGAACATAGCAAAAACCCAGATGCTCCTCAGTCTTTGTCTGTATGTCACATTCAGATGATGATAGCTTAATGGAGACTTCATCCGTTCCCTTCTTAGGCAGCTTGGTGGTAGTCCATTAAGCCTCATTTTCCTCTTCTGACTTGACATCAGCTTCGTCATCTAATGATGGTTTCTCCACTTTCGGTTCACAAGAATCTAGGTAGAATTTTGTGTCTGCAAAGTATGACTCCGTCTTAGTGAAAGGCTTGATGTCTGCATCAATTTTGACTATCTCACCATCTCTTATGTACTTCAGCCATGGATGCAAAGTAGATGATACCACCCCATTCTTATGAATCCAAGGACGTCCAAGCAACAAGTTGTATGATGTTTTAGCATCTATGACGTGAATCAGGGCATTTGAATTCATCTCACCAATGGATAATCCTACGCGGATCATACCTATAGCTCGTTGTCCTCCTTGGTTGAAACCTTGGATTGTTAGGTTACTTTTGGATAGATCATCAATAGTGATCCCAAGCTTTTTTAGCACCATCTTTGGCATGATGTTGACAGTCGAACCATTATCAATAAGTATGCGATTAAGATATTGTTCCTGAATGGACCCTACAACAAACAAAGGTCTGTTATGTGGCTTAGACCCCAGCAGCAAGTCAACATCTGTGAATGAAATTATTGCATAACATGTGACAACTTTTCTGTTATCATGATGTTCTTGTGTTTTCATTGCAGCAGGCTTATCATTGCTTTTTGTTGTTTCGTCAGTACTAGAAACTACATGAGTTGCACCAATGTGACCTCCATGAAGGAATTTTCCAAGAAAGAATTCATGCAATGTGATGGGCTTTCAAAACTTCGGCGATAAGGTACTGTTAATCTTCTTGCTAATAGAAGATTTGATATTTCTTGGTGATTGTAGCCTATCTGCATTGCTCATCATCGCTCTTGAATTAGGAATTCGTAGCCTCAAAACTGCCTGATATTTTTGCTTCTTGCGAGTGACTAGAATCCAGCCCTCACCGTCTTTGTCTTTGGAGTGATTGTCTAGCTCTAGTGAACCTTCAAGAGTTTTCCTTGGAAGATCAACTTCAACGGGCTCGAAACTTCCAAATTGTAAGAAGGCAGTGCTTGACACGTTATTTAACTTTGAACACTTCTTTTCCTTGAGCGCAATACTTGCATGATTTACTTCTGTTGTTTCATCCATGTCTATGATGATTTTTCCTTCACTTACATCAGCCATGATTTCCTCCTTCAAGACGAAACATTTCTCTGTAGGGTGGCTAATGATGTGATGAAACTTGCAGTATTTCGGATCGCCAACTTTGCCAATTTCCTCTGGCCTTTTTGATTAAGGGAGATCGATGACTTTCTTATCCAGCAGTTCATCAAGGATTGTGGGTACGTCTGAATCTGTAAATGGATAAACCTTCGCCTCTAATTCCTTCAAGGTGGGACAACGCTTTTACTCTTTGAGATATTGAATCGGGGTCTTATCCTCCTTCACTTTTTGCTTAGTAGTGACCTTTACCGAAGTTTCTTTCACCGCCATTGATTATTTGGTTTGGCTTTTTGATTCAACATTTTTCTTGAACTCCTTTTGATCAGCGAATGGAGATGCATTTCCATGACTTGTGATGCTTAACTCCATGTCGTGTGCTCGTGTTGCAAGTTCTTCAAAAGTTCGCGGTTTGATCCCTTGTAGAATGCACAAAAGGCCCTAGTGCATTCCTTGAATGCACATCTCCATAGCAGATATTTCTGAAAGGCAGTCTTTGCAATCCAAACTTAACGCCCTCCAACGATTAATGTAATCCACCACGGTCTCGTTCTTCCTTTGCTTGGTGCCTGTCAACTCTATCATGCTTATAGTTCTTCGGGTACTGTAAAAACGATTGAGGAATTCCTTCTCAAGTTGCTCCCAGCTATCAATGGACTCGAGCTCCAAGTCAATATACCAGTCAAATGCATTCCCTTTCAGAGAACGAACAAATTGTTTTACCAAAAGGTCACCATGCGTTCCAGCATTGCTAGAAGTCTCGATAAAGTGGGCAATATGTTTCCTTGGGTTCCCTTTGCCATCAAATTGATGCAGCTTTGGTGGTTGATAATTGGTTGGCATGGTTAAACAATCAATCCTCTTAGTATAAGGCTTAGAGTAGTACAACAAACTTTGCGATGGTACGCCATATTGAGTTCTGATGGTGTTTGTTATCATGTCTTGCAATTGTTGGACAGATAACACTGCAACTGAAGTAGATTGATTTTCTTTTTGAATGTTTAACTTTGCAAATGATTCCTCAACAACTGTTTTCTGGGAGGTGAAGACAGGTGAACGAGGAGGGACATGGCTCGACTCTCTAGGTGTATAAACCTCTAATTTGTTCATGAGTTGAGCGATTTGAAGGTCTTTGTCTTCAACACCTCTATAGTCTGTTCCATCATGGCAAACTTTTCGTCCATGTTAGTTGCGTCAGTTATCAAGGCATTAACTTTCGTTGAAATTGAAGAATCCACCAAATCCTCAAATTCGCCAAGGTTTGAGGCTGTTCGAGAAAGTTTGCCAAACAGTGAGAATGGGGTGTTGCCCCTAGAGATTGCTGTTGCGAACGTCATATGAGATCTCCTCTTCTTTGCATCTCCAAGGAGGCGAAGTATTCGGATCCATCCAAGCCACTAGCCTTGAACTTGCTTCGAGTGATTAGGCCAATATGACTGAGCTCAGCGGATGCGGCAACAATAGCATATTTGCTTGAAATATCACACTTGCGGAAGGCCATTGTAGTAGTAGATCTGAAGTTTGTAGTTTTCAACTTGCAAGGAGAGATGAAGGGAAAAATTGGTCTCACTAGGCGTGCCAAAATTTGTTCGCAACAAATTTTCGTAATACGAAAAATAAACTGCAACAAAAATAATATGAAGAAAAAGTGATTTTATTGATAAATATTTGTGATTATAATTCTATGTATCCCTTGATTCTCCTCTCTAAAATTCTCCGTGATTCGAGGGCTTGAGAAACATTTTTCTCTAATGTAGGATGATGCAGACCTCCTTGTGATGTATTTAATCACCAAGAACGTCGAGCAACACTCTGTTGTTATGGGTTGATCTCCGAGAAGAACTCTGTTGATCACTCCTTTGTTGAAGAACTAAACATTTGATGATTGATCTCTCTGTTTGTGGATGCCTTCACCAATTGCGGAGTGTTCTTCTCCAAATCTGAATGTCCTCTGAGAGTTATGTAACCCCTCTATTTATAATTGTAGAGGATGGACAATCCAGTTACATATGAACTTTCTTGCTTGATTTTGATTCGCCCATGTCATTTTAGCCACTTGTCGACCTGTGGTTGGTTCTTGATTTTTGACTTGGATTGCCACATCATTTAACACATGGAGTCATCTTGTTGGCTTTAGATTTGACTGGACATGCCATTTTTTGACATATGATACGAGTCTGGGCCTTAAGATAAAGAGAACCTTAGGCTTGAAATTAATAAAATGGACTAATTTAACTTGTAAAGCCCAAATTAATTATCTAACCCAATTGAATTTAATCCAAATTTTGTATGGATTAGACCCAATAAATTTTATATGTCTACACCTATATAGCATGTTTGATCCTGTTCCCTATTAGTATGCTTCCAGCATGTCTTGACTTCCCAGTAGTTGTAATGATCTATTCTCATCCTGTCTAAATTCTGTTGCCAATTAATATGATTCTCTCTTGTAACACTAGGACCTATACTTAGCATAATTTGAACCTTTTCCTTAATATGAGTCTGTGTACACCAATCCTACAAACCTATTTTATTAATGTGTGACTACTTATGCACCATGTGTTAAACTTGTTCTTCTGAATCTTTACTAAGTCTGTTCTTAAAACCTAAGCTTGTTCGATTATCTACTCTATGTGCTCAACTTGACTGTGTTTGCATCCCTCAGTGTTGTCTCTCAACCTTAGTTTACTCTCTTTCACTTGTTACCTGGGTTCTTTTGAGTTCTCTTTCTTACATGGCTGAAATCCAAGGCTACCTAAGTTCTATCATTAACTTCCCTAGTGTGAGCACTGCTCGGGGTCCAACTGAGACCTTTGTGAACTCTGACACACTAGGGTTTAAGATTCCTTGGCACTTTGTCCTAACTGCTCCATTCTTCCCCTTTTCACCTACTGAATAAGCCAATGGGCTTGCGCAAATGGCTGTTTTCTGGATCTTTGATCAACTATGGCTACTAGGTTTTGACTATTTTGTGTTGGATTGACTGTGACCTCTGGGCTATGGTGAAACCTGTATGGATACGAAATTGAAGACCTGTCTGGGCTGGGTATATTTTGGGCCTGTCTTAGTCCCATTATAGTTATTTTGTAACTTTATAGTTTATTTCATTCATTGGGCATGTGATAATGTTGTAATAATAATTGGGGTGTTAGTAGAATTAGGAAAATGGTTCTATTCTAATGTTTGCATGAAACGGGTAGAAATCCTGCCTATAGGTATTTAATTCGTTCAACATGTTTTGCTCATATGTGTTTGTTAGATAACCTGCCTATAGGACCTGAGTGTTTGATTCGTTCAACATATTCTGCTTCTATATGTTTGTTAGATATCATGCCTATAGGAAATAAAATGTCAATGACCATTCTTTTAATTTGCATAACTGCAGCATATTCTACTAGAAATCATGCCTACAGATCTTTAAATGATCAATTTGCTGTTGTTATTATACTGCTCACCTAGAAGACATGCCTATAGGAGTTAAGTATAAAAAAAATGAGTTTCAATCGTTGATCATTAGAAATCCTGCCTGTAGGACATTACCACTCGCTTTAAGGTGTTAATATTGAACTTTCAAACATTTTTTCGTTGCTTATCTATGAAAACATGCCCATAAGATCAAACTGAGTAATTCTGAGTATTTCCAATGATTATCACTGCCAGCTACTGCGTAAATCACCCATAGATCATACCTATAGGTTTAATCACGTATAATTGTAATGTCAATAATCAGCCTGCAATACCATATTTCCCTAAACTATATAGTTATTTGGAAATCACGTCTATAAGATTGCACCTTGCATCTAAAATTGCCTGTACGAGGTCACATAGAAACTATATCTATATGGCTTAATGGTTTTTATTTGGCTCAATTATGAAACTGTCTAACGCTTAATGTGAGAATTTATTCACGTGCATTTGTTGTCTAAGTGTGGAGGCTAACTTGAGCCTTTAATTGTCTTTACATGAAGTTCAACTTGTTTTGTATGTCGCCTAGTTTTATCATTTTGAGCAGTCTAAGTTAAGTCTAGAACTATCCAAAATAAAGGTCCAAACGCCTCCTGGGCCATAGGCATGGGGTGGGTAGTGCAAGCATAAGCCACGGTTTAGAATCAACTAGTACGTTCCTAGATAGTAATTGGGTAGCAGGAGATGATAGTCTATACCCGTTGAATAATACGAGTAACATCCCATCTCGAGGGAGTTACGAAGTATTATTTATGTTGCACGGGGTGATCCTGTAGGCTAAAAAACTTAGGACCCCCATCTTGTCTTTAAATCAATTATTTGTGTTTATTCAAAGTCTTTAAATAATGAATTTTCCCAAACTTCTTGTTTCTCTCTGTCTTTGTTTATCTTACTAATTCATATAATTCGAGTTTGGCTGGGACCCACAGTTGTGGACCTCGAAGAGTGCCTAACACCTTCTCTTCGAGGTAATTTGAGCCTTTACCCGATCTTTGGTGACGCAAACTGGTTAAACTAGAGTTATTTGCAAATAGGTGTCTTAACGCACCTCAAACCCGTTAGGTGGTGACTGTCTCTTTTAACACCTTCCTTAAAGTCACATGTCGAAACCCGATTTCGCGAGAAAAAGGGCCGCAACAGGGCCATTACTGTCAATCACCCTCTTGCTTAGCAGCTTGTAGATTGCTACGAACGAGTTGGGCCTATCTACAGGTTTAGTAACATCAAACATGGACCCATCCTTATACTTACATACTACCAATGCCCTCAAGTTTATAGAAATGACACCAGATAGCCATCTAAAGGGCTATTATTTAAGAATTAGCCAGTGCACCCTGAATTTCAATTTTTCGGTTTAATTTTTTAGGACAAAATAAGTACTGACTAATTTCTAAATAGTATCCTGAGAATGACTATATGTGCAGTTGCCCCCTCAAGTTTCCAATATATGAGTTCTGCCTTCCTTCAGTTGTGTGGACTAGTTATAAGCTGACTGTTCAATTCGCTAGCATTCAATGACAACTACAGTTGAATCGAACGATTATTTTCGGGGACTAGAGAAATAGATTTAAAGGGAGAAAAATGTTCACTGCTATTTAAGTTCGTTATAATTTATATTTTCATAGTGCATCGTTCGAAAAAGAAAGAATTTTTTTTCCCCACAATATTTGTGATCAATGGATCGTTATTCAGATCATAGCCACTTCAAGAAAACAAATTACAAGAAATTTGTGTAAGACAAATTAAAGACAATGACCAAAATGCAAGCAAATTAAATTTATAAACAAGATAAAGATGGCTAACTCCACTCAATCTGATCTACTTAGCCACTTCATGAGTACTTGTAGGCATCTCCAATGGGAAATTTGTTGTTTCATTGTGAGCACTTCCATAAGGACAGAACATAACCTTATAATCTGTAGTCCAACTTGTGCATGTAAATGTACTTGTTGGATCATCTTGTGGATAACTATAGGCATCAGGACATCTTTGTTTGAACCATCTTGATAACTCTGTAGGACCACAAGGTCCTTGTGTGCAACAATATTGTTGTCCTCCAAATGTTGTACATGGGTTGTTACATCCTCCAGGTACCCTAAGTGCACCAGGGCATTCACCATTTATATTAGCTGTGCATTGAATTCCGTGACATTTTCCAGGACCAGGCTTAGTCGGGCCAAAAGACATAGGAATGTTGAATCCATCGATTACAGAAATGTCCCAGAAATCTAAGTTACTGAATTGGTTCAATGCGTATTCGGCTAAAGTGTTTGGTGGTTTACCCCACCCTTTGCATTCTAGGACTCCACCGCAATCACCGGTTTGACACCAACCTCTACCGGCACCATCAAAGTTGCAATTAGTACGACCCCATATACGTGCCATTTTAGTACCCGGTGGGGCCCAGAACCACCAGCTTTGACCTCGCTCGAGGCGTCGGCCGCCGCCTACAGGGGTTGCCGCCGCCCAGACGGTGTATGGGCAGTTGTTATGGACCTCAAATACGCCGGAAGCATGAGTATAAGTCACAAAGGCAAGAAGGAAGAATACTAAACAAGTTATCAAGTGACTCATTTTAGTGGACACTTTAGTAAGAAGATTGGTTGTTGGATGTATTGACATTTGAGTTAAGGGGGCTTATATAGTGGTATGGCGGCTTTTTGCACTATAGACAATAATAGTACTAATATATATTGGCACTTGATATATTATTATTATATTAATAAAGGAATGATCATGAAAGATGCTTTGGTAAAGATAGAGCTAGGCGGCTAAATGTAAAGGCCTGACAAGTGACACTTATTATATACATACATATATAGAAACTAAATAATTTATTTGGTGATAATGATCACGAGCAAACTTTGTCACGCTAATATGTCCACTTGAAATAATACGCCACCGATAATATCCACTGTAAAACAACATGGACTTAGCTAGAAACTCAGATATGTGTCGAGTTTAGTAGCTTTTATTCAAATATTATATTTATGTAAGAAATTTATTAAGCATGTACAAATATTAAATTTAGAACAC